TCTAACAGTATACTCCATGATACTAACAAAGAAAAGAGCAGTCATAACGAATCTCCCCGAAAGTTACCATTTCCGCCTCTGCTTATAACAGCTCTTGAATCACCAACATTTGCAACGAGTAAACGATCACCAACAAGAATAGCTGTAGACGCAGTCGAACCAGCGTCTCTATTGTGACTATTTTCTGACTTTAAAAGTTCAGAGTCTGTATGGTTATACGCATCAGCTGGAAAACTCAAAGCAAATCCGATGTTAAATTAGAATGCCGCATCGATATTAAGTTGCGTTAACAACAACTTTGCTCAGGTTTATCTGACAGTACTTATAGCTGATTTGGTATCAGAGATAAACTTTGGATGAGTAATTAGATTACTGAAAAGATGACGCTTCACATACTCAGCTGCTCTGGCTCCACCATGACCTACCAAAACATATACCAGTATCAATAAAGCTACCGTAACAGCGAGTACTCGAGTCAATTAGCACCAAATTCAATCTCAGGTTCAATTGAGAGCAATGTATTATAACTTCTTGTTCAAGAAGAGAAAATTACCATCAAAAACTCCAAAAAGACCAACGATTTCTCCATCGATACCGTCGATCCTCGTCTCGAAAAAATCTTCCATAGATGATCTCTTACCAGCGGAACTTGCATATCCATAGCTAAATTTTCCATTCTGGCTGAAATTGAATCATGTTAATGTTACAAATCAACACACACCAAAAAATCAACATTTCTTGTAGAATCATATGAGTAAAACAGAATCAATCAAACGAGATTACATCGAATCGAACAAAGGTAAAAACTCCAAATAATCAATTTTCTCACGTAGCTAATTGTTCAGCTAAAAACCAGATTTAACACGAATTTAAGAATAAAACCGAGCTAGAAGATGAATGACCTGCGACCACCACCACTCGCCGGAGCTTCAACAGTCTGCGACGGATTGGAATACGACAAGGCCAAGTCCAGGTAACCCATATTTCTCCAGAAATTTCAAAACGACTAATATATCTTCGAATCAACAATTGGGATGTTCGTCTTAAACTGAAATCAAAAGGGGATCGATCTCAACAATCACGATTTCGGAAAAATTCAAATTCCATGAAGGAAGAATCAGAAGGAGGAGAAGAAGGTGGGTTGATTCATTGTTGAGAAAAATAAGAGAGAGAAACCAAAAGAGGGAAAGAGAAAACAGGTGATCGACGTTTTGGAGAAGGGAGCATATTCCGGCGAGACTACCGCAAATAATAATGGTTTGGGTTTTGATTTTTATGCTAAAAGTAGAAACCAGAGACAAAGTCAAAAAAGGCTAAAATCAATGGCGGGTGTACAGAAGCTGACACGTGTTGCTCAGAGAGAAAAGCAAGTAAATCTCTGAGGTAGTATTTCACGTGGATCCCATTTTTGCATATGTGATTTTAATCTTATCCGATCCGAACCAAACAAAAATAAATCGATCCAAAGACCATATACAAAAACGAGAATTCAAATTCAACAGAATTGAAAAAATAAACCATATCCAATAATAAAATTTTCAACCGAATCAACAAAATTTAAAAAAAATAAACCATATTCAAAATTCAACCGAATCAACAAAATAAATCAATCTAAAACTAAAATTTTAAAAATTAAATGATACGAAGGGTTATTTTTTAAATCAGAATATTCAAAAAAAATTTTTGAATACCGAAGTGATTATGAGCCAAAGGTTTAGAACTTTAACGGTTT